GAACCCAGAATCTGTCAGTTTCGCGTGCGAGCGCTTAACCATTAGACCACTGAGCCGGCATCCAACGGTGTTAATTTCTAACTTCAACCAATCCACGAAATTGTACCACAGTACACAATTGTCTTCAGTAAGCTGATACCTCACAACAGACCTGGTTGAACTCCACTGGTAACGGATTCTCACTAGAACTCCAGGAAATGTTTCTTAAAATTAGTTACTAGTGAGCAGATGATTATTATCAAAAGGGGTTTTGTGGAGATTTTAGAAATTTCACTAGTTAAAATCGTGGATGCGCACTGCCGTGGAGTTCCATACTAAGACAAAACGGCCATCTTGTGCTTCCAGGTTTTCCATGGTAGTCTAGCTTCAATTGAATCATGATTTCAATCAGTGAAAATTTTAAAATCTCCAAAAAAACCCTTCTGATAATTTCTTAATTGGCCAGTAATTGTCTAGATAACGTCAGACTATGATCTAGACTATTCTCAAAATAGAAAAGCCAACATTGTACTGCTGTTGACAATCTTTTGGTTACAAATTTGAAATTTCTATGCTGTATATTGTTAAGAAAGGTGAATTGACTTGCAATGGTAATTTGATTCTAAAGATGATTATAATGTGAAATTCTTTTATTGTAATATGAATATTTTATATTTATTAACATGACGTTCTCTGGTTTTTGACGTGTAATGGTTGTTTCCGTGATTCCTTATTCCTATAATTAAAGTTATCGTTTGACGAAAATAACATTTTAAACGGAAGGTAATATCCATATTTGTCTGAAAAATTCCAGTTAAACCCTAAATAAATGACTAAACAGTGAAAAACCAATTGAACCGTTTTGTGGATTATTTTTCGTTTATTTGCATTTGAAAGTAAATAGGAATTTTGATCAGAATGGGGTCTAAGGGGATCGCAGAGATTTTAGTAGTTGAATTTATGAATTGATGTAATCTAGACCACTATGGAAAGCCTGAAGTTACTGGACGTCCGTTTCTTCCTATTATGGGACTCCTCAACAGTGCGCATGCATGATTCAGCACTCGAGATTTGAACCATGGACTTTTGGTCTCTCAAGCAAACGCTTAACCTCTAGACCACTGAGTCGGCATCCAGTGTTAATATCTAAATTCAATCGACCCACGAATGGTTGCGTAACCATTCATCCATTGTGTGATATAGATACCTGTCTCTGCTGAACACGGATTGAACTCCACTGATCACGGTCTCTCACTAGAACTCCGAGAATTACCTCATGACACCAGTCACTAGTGAAGTTAGACATTAACAACATTGAATGTCAACTCAGTGGTTTAGAGGTTAGGCGTTCGCTCGTTTGACCAAAGGTCCTTGGTTCGAGTCCCACTTGAGGGACTATGAATGTGCACTGTTGGTAGTCCCATATTAGGGGTAAACAGCCGTCCAGTACTTCGAGATTTCCAATAGTACTCTAGCTTCCATCGACTCATGAATCCGATTATTAGATAGGAATTAACAACTGATTAACTAATAATTAGCAGTGATCGAATTTTTTCAGCCAAGTTACAATATGACCATTAGTCCGAACGACCCGTTATTATGTACACTATGTTGAGATATTCAGTGGTATCCGGTAGAACTAGACTTCGTGACAGGTTGAGGGTTTCCTCCCAATTGCCTTCAACTATTTAACAATATACAAAACTTGAAAATGTCCCATATATAATACTTAAAATTTACACATATTATTGTTACTTATATCACTTGTAGTGATGATGAAATGATAATTCGGCAATGGCATAAATATCAACGATTAATGGATCGGTTCAGGAATTATAGAAAGTAAAGTGTTGAGGAGATATATTTAAACAAAAAAGAAAGGAAAGACAAATGATAATTTTAAAACAATTAGAGATGAATTCACTTGGTATTGTTTTACTTGAATCTTCCCACTGATGACGAATTGAATTTCACCTCATTGCACAAGCAAGTGGCTATCAGGACTTAGTAGCTAAGTGCATAATGCGATGGCGTTTGAAGCAAATGGTACTGGGTTCGAGTCCCAGAGTGAACATCAACTCTGAGATGCAGGTACATCCAGCTGACGAGTCCCAAATAGGACAAAACGCACGTCCTGGATTCCGCTGCTAGCCATTATTTATCTTTGCTTATAATGAGAGATGAATAAATTTGACAGCTATAAAAGAAATATATACAACTCAAAGCAATAAATATGCATCATTTATAAATGTAACATTTTCATACTATAGAGCCATGTAGTAATCGATTAAAAGCTAACCGATATATATCCTCCAGGTTGGAGAATATAATGAAGTAAAATTTATTAAAAATAACAAATAGTAAGTTATTAAATCAATGAAAAGTTATAAAGGCTTATTGATTGGAGAATAACAATTCAAATGTCAAAATTTCAATATATTAGTCAAACAAAAAAGAATGATTATTGACTAAAGAATATTGATTAAATGATAAACTGTTACTTACAATGAATGAACACATAGTAACTAGATATTTAGTTAACTATTTTCCTTTTATTTGGTTTAATAGAAATTATATTCAAAAAAATGTTTCACATTAAAACTTCCTCTTAGTTTATAAAGGTACATAGAAACTGATGTTTAAAATTAGTGTCAGAAGAAAATGCTAAGTCTTAAAGCAAATGTACTTTGGGAAAGTTATAACAGCTTTTATTTCATTTGATTATCTGTCTCATTATCTGAAAAGTTACCGCTAAAATTCATTGTTTCTTTAGGTTTACTAAATTGACCGAATTTAGTAAACATTGGGCATTTGCTTTATCTTAGTACACTAATAACAGTCATGTGCTCTTAGGTGATCAATATTGAGAGGTCATTCCAGAAGTTCTAATAACAATCTATAACCAATGGAGCGCAACCGTCTTGAGTATGAGACATTTATCCTTCTCAGATAATACGAGATTGTCGTACAATATCATATATCGATTGAAGTTAGATTAAGAAATTCGAAGGTTCTGTGTTTGATACTTAGTGGATACATAGCGTTAATGAATCCAATACCAGGATGAAACAGTTATTAAATGTTTCCTGATTTTCAATAGTACTCTGATTATGAACAGCTCGTGATGTAAATCATGAAATTCATCAATATCTATAAACTACTTATATTGATACGAATCATTCTTATGCTTTCTTAACTAAATTGGTTGAAGGAGCTGATTAAGTATTAATTTTAGAATTTAATCACTATGATTTCTTCTAAAATTAAGGTCAAGGTTGGAATTTCAGGTTTAGACAATGATTGTAACTTCAAACTAGTTACTGATATTCTCAAGATGAATGATTTGTGAACTGAAAATTTAATTAATTACTTCATTATCTAAGGTTAAATAATCTTTCCTAAAGTTCTAGATTTCAATCAAAAAAAGTGTATAAGTATTGGATTTTTATATGATTATTTTCTATAATGATATAATGTTTTATTGCGTGACTTTTAATCTTATATTTGATAAAGTGTTGAGATAGTGGAGAAGATTTGTAACTCAGGTAGATGATTTTGATGAAGTTTTGTTCTGTGAACTGGATGAAAGTTCCATGAGTAAACCATTCAGGTCAGAGAACAAAACTCTATCAGAATAAAGTATTGAATTTGACTGAAAATATTTATAAGTGAACAATGAAAATAAAATCCTAGTACGTATGTATATATTTATGTCTTCAACTTTGAATCACACTTCATAAGTTAGGATTGATAATAGTATTTTAACAAAATGAATGGTGCAGTACTTAAATCTGTAACCTTTACAGTCAAAAGTTCGGTATTTTACCCCTCAGATGGGTTGGTTCTTGATAATTTATTTATTCTATGAAGAAATGGCTTATTAGGATTTTATAATTATATCATTATTTTTAGTATCATTTAAAAGAGGATTTATGTGCGCATGTCTATGATTACTATGCAAAGAAAGTTGATTATGTCTATGGTATTTTTTCAATATTTTATTCAGAAATACTATACTACGTATAAGATTGTTATATGTATTACTAAGTTACCATATTTTACCAATCGCGATTTCACATCATAAAAGACGCCCATGGTAACGATGACTGCTGTTACTGATAGATGTAAGACCTAGTGTTTGAACATTGGAAGTTTATGTGAAAGTCCCTTTTAAACTGTTCTGACACATTCAGTTTTCAACATTAGGTACGCTTCATAGATGATTAATCATTGAGTAGTTGTGACCAATTTAATATTCGTCTACTCCTTTAGTACTGCTTGGATTCTGTCGACCAAGTTATAATGTAGCCATTAGTTTCAATGACTCGACATATCATTTACTCTGTAACGTGGTTGTATGTAGCCGGTAGGAAACCCTAGACTGAAGATTATTGCCAGCTAGCGTTTTCAAGCTGTGAAGCAGAGATAAGCATGTTCAGATCTGATCGAAAGTGTCAGTTTCTTTAAAGGTTCACTTACTTTCTGTTGACGAGTGCCAACTAGCCTAAAATGTAAATCCGCCGTTCCATAGTCGCCACTTACAATCACCTAGTATTAATTAACCTTCAATCTGGTTTGTTTAGATTTATAATTTAAAATCAATAATAATATTTCAGAGGATACTAATTGTGGTAATCTTGACTATTAACGAGAAAATGTTTAAATTTCTACAACAACAAAATAGGTGTATGACACCCAATAGAGATGTGTTAGTACTACCATCTTATTTCACTAAGAAACATCGCAAAAAAAATAAAGGTTGGGTTTTTTGATGGGTTTCTAAATGGTATAAAATGCACACACTAGTTATTATTGTTACTCATTATTTAAAGTATTAGTAATCTGGTAGTCATTTTTTATTTATTTAACATTCAATTTAATAATTCTCAACATATATCGACACCCTTATCCTCTTGAATGGCTAATATCAGTTATCTTGTATGTTAACTATATAAAATTAATTTTAATCTGAAGATAAACAAAATGTCTATCTGCAAAATAACATAAACAAAATGAATAATCTAATATTTAAGTATTTATTTATATATAAACACTTATCTGTTAAACATATGGTATGAATATATTCAAATATTTCCATGGTTACATGTAAATAGTAATAAAATTTTAAAATTTATTGATATACACTACTGGTTATAGTAATTCAATAACTTTTGGTTATGTAAAAATAGTAGTAAGTTACATAGTAGCAAACAATAAGTAATATATGTTCAAAGTATTCTATAGGATATTCATTTGATAAGGAAACTGATGGAACAAAGTATTTTACTATAAAAAAACAACCCAAACTACATAGAACACTACTGAAATATAGAAGAATTAATTTATTTAACAAATAAATCTTTTTCTGTTGGTTCATCTATTTCACTTTGTGTTGATCGTTTAAGTGAATCAGAACGTCGTAAAGTTGAACATCTTGAAAAATGATGAATTGGAGAATCTGATGGATTTGAAGTTGTTGGTGAAATGTTTTTATGAATTTTTACTGCGTTATCAACAATATTTGGTAAAATTAATGTTGGCGGTTCAGGATTTATTAAATCTTTTAGAACTGATTTTCTATGACTTTCAGTTTTGAAACGTTTTGCATCTTGACGAGCTAAATTTCTCTTTTTTATTTTTCGTCTGTCTCTGTTTTTACAAGAAAAAAATAATCAATAAACAAATAAAGGTGTATTGAATTATTGAAGTTACATTTTTAGAAAATGAAATTGATGTTTTAAGCTTAAAAAAATACAAAATTATAATTGACGAATTTATAATGAATTTTTCTAAAGAATAAACGTAACTTTTGCTTTAGTCACTTATTGAAATGTTTGAACACTACTCATCATAATAATAGAAATCTGTTACCTTATCAACATTTGTTACTCTAAGAATAACAACACAAATTTATTATAAATGTAAACGTAAACAGTGTAAAATTATGTTGTGGGAGGGCAGGGGAGATTTGAATCATAAACTATCTGTAGTATCCCATATTGTATTATATAACAACACTGAAGTAGTCATTATTAACATTGCAGTCTGATTCATATATATATATATCTCAAAATGCACCCCATATCACAAGTTAGTGGCTATTGTGACTCTGTAGATAAGTAGGAATCGTAGTGATATTTCTAGAGAACGGTATTGAGTTATAGTCCAGGCGTGAGCATAAATCATAGGATGCAAAAACATCCGGCTGATGAGTCGGAAACAGAGTGAAATATCCTGGACTCCACCGCTAGCAACTATCTATCTCCGTTTGAAATTATAGTCTAATATTTCACACAAAAGATGCTGCCTGTTATATAATAAGTTGATTGACTTATTCATCCGAGAACCTGGCTTTGTAATAGTAATATTTAAAAACCACACAGTTCATTTTATCAGTTTCTGGACTCCATATGATTAATGCTTCAACTTTTTTGTGTTTTTGAATCTCATCTTCAATTGATCTTACAGTATATATTTTTGTGATCAACAAGTACTGTTACTTCGATCCTTCCCGTCACTTATATTCAGAATATTATATTGTATCATTTATAGTTTAATACTACTATGATTTTAAGTGGTTAACGAGAAATCGTGAAATAAAACGAATTCATTCAGTTTTATTTCAATTGTTGTTTTGGGTTTATTAAAACTCAAAAATGGGACCAGTTGTATGTAATTTATCGTTGTCTGGTTAATCACTTTGATATCTATATATACGTCGATTAAACACATGAAATCATTGATCATAAATGAAAGGCTAAAATTGATTTAAATATACAAAGATTTGTTCTCTACGTTTAGAGTATCATAATGCTGTTACACATCTTACAGATACAATTTTAATTGTAAGTAGATTGAAAAAACTAATGATGATGGTCCTTAATTTTTTTCACCTTAAAGTATACTTGAGCTAAGTTGTTCAATATGATCTGGAGACCTGCTAGAATATCTAGGCTACTTGTTCCTGCCATCTAGATATTTCAACAACTTACATGAATTTTGTTTGTTTTAACAAATCATGATGTTTGTTAATCACATAACCTATTCAAGAGCATTTATGAAGTGTTTACGACCTTTTGCTGTACAACTTACAAAAAAGTACAATCAGAGACATGGTGGTTGTTAGCAATATCCATCGAAAAAATGAACATTATTCATATATTGATTCTTGAAATCGCTTACATCTAACTGGTGATTACTCAGTATTTCTTGCCAAAATCGATCAGTACATAAGAAACGGAAACTTATTAAAATACTTTGCACTGAGAATTCTATATTGTACCAAAAATATAATACTGAATATAGCTAGTAATAATAATAATGTTATGATACTTGATATCAGATATAAAGATCAAAATTTTAATCTTATTCCAGATAATAAGTAAATGAACAATGTAAAGAAATCTTAGATAACTTGATAAGAAAGATTTATTCATTCTCACTTAAAGATGAATGTTTTTTAAACTTCTTAATGAAAACTATTATTTTCTCAATTATACTAATTCAAATACAGAGTGAATTGGTTACAGTCTCCATAATGATTCTAATGAATTAAATGGAATTTTATTTCTTTCACCATATATTTATTAAAGTATAATAGTTAAACTCATTTCTAATATATTCAATCTAATAGGACATTTCTCATTGTTAGTATGAAATTATATTAGTTAAATTAGGGAGCTTTTCACACAAACAATTTAATAATTGTATTTATCTCTAACGTAATTATTTAAAAGTAATTTCTCACAAGGTTTCTTTAAAGAAGATTTTAATAGAAGTGTTCATTCTACATATCTCATTGATTTATATAACTATGTAGTAATATGTACTTTAGATTACCATATACTTTGTATAAAGAATACTACTAGAAGTTTATAAGAAATAATGTGTGATGACAGACTATCCAAATTATTGTTTTATGATGACTACTCTTGGTATATTGCAATTTATAATAACATGACTTGAATAATAACCCCACTGAGAATGCTTAAAATCTCATAGACTTTGTAAGTAGCTACATAAAGCTGACTATAGTTTCCATATACCTTAGGCAAGTCAGAGAATATCTGGGTCGATTGTTAAAATCCAAGATCCTTGAAGTAAACTGAATTGTTCACAATGTTATTGATCATTTGAAGCTTATTGCTTAAGACGGGAATTATGGGAGTTTGTGAGTTCGGGTTGAAAAACCTTGAAAGTATAATAAATACTTTCAAAATTCGCTAAAAGTTTCAATTATTGTAAAAACACAGATGTATGAAAGGAGAATATTCCTTTCGATAAATCCTCATTAGGTCCTACAGTAAAAGAAATACGTTTATGATAAACATTTCCTTTAGACATTACAGCATATAAGTTCAGTATTACTAGTAAAATAAAATCAAGTTTGAGTGTTTAAACTACTACTATACAAAGTTAACTTAATTTAAACTATGAAAATTCTACAATCTCCACAATACGCTATACTGATAATAATCATGTGCTCACTAGGGACTAACTTCGAGGGGAAATTTCCAGAGTTCCGGTGAGAAGCCGTAACTAGTGGAGTACAGTCGTGCTGGGTGTGAAAAAGCTACCCACCGAAGACAGTGGAATATAGTCGCTCAGTACTGTGGATTGATTGAGCTTAGAAATAACCACGTCGAATGTCGATTCAGTGCTTTAAAGTTCAAGCACTTGCGTGCTATATTGAGAGTCTTGTGTTTGATTCCTGGTAGAAGGATAGTGGTTGAGATATGATGAGGAGTTTCATACTAGGACGAAACGGCCGTCTCATGCTTCCACGTTTTCAATGGTTATCCAGCTAAGATCATTTCACGATTTAGGCTAGGAAAACCCTAAAGTCTTCATTTAACTATTTGCTGACAGCATAATTATGTTTGTACGTTATCTGTTATTATGAGATTAATAATCAGAATAAATGTAGATACCACAGGGGAAGACAAATAGTAACGTGGTTATAAATTAGATCGAAGGTTCGTTCAACGATTAAGGAAAGTTTAAAATGATATGAATTAAGAAGTAGTGGAGTGGGGTTGAGTGCCAATTAAATTCTATCTGTGCTCAAGAGAATCATTAAATAATAATGATACAAATATGTGACTCCTCTGCAGTGAGCACCCACGATCCCGCACCCTGCGGGACTCAAACCCATGGTCTACTGGTTTTGAGCGCGGGCACGTAACCACTAGACAACTGAGCCGGCACCCAACGGTGTTAATGTCTAACTTCAACTAATCCAGGAAGTTGCGCCGGTACGAAACGGCCGTTCAGTGCTTACAGGTTTTCCATGGTGGTCTAGCTTCAACTGACTCATGATTTAAATCTGAACTTTCTAAAATCTCCACAAACCTTTTCTGATACGAATATGTGTTAAAAATGGTTAACAGTAACATTCTAATAGGAAAAATCTTTCAAAAGAATACAAAGACAAGGTGTATATGAACACTGGTCCTATTAGAGTATTTTATAAATATGATAAATTATCGACTTGTTGGATTTGAGGTTGGCCATGATAAGAGAAGAGATTAAATGAGCTTTCTTTGTATGTAGACTGTTTGGTAATCCAAGTAGCTATTTCTCTCGGTTTTTGTAGGATTCTGAGTCTAATATATCTTGATTGATAATTTCTTTCACGTTAACTTACAATAATTAACGAATTCACGTGAGGAGTATGAGGTATTTGAACTAAATAAGTCAGGATTAAGTTGCTTACAGTCAAGATTATACTTTTGTCTTTTAGTCTCCGTATCGCTATCGGAAGTATGGCAATCAATTATGATTTTGTTAATTAATGTCATCAAATAAAGAGATGACGACAGTATTTATATCTCATATATATATTTAACAGATAAATCTATTTGCTTATACAATGTGTTCTATCTAGCTTGTTTACCATCATTAAGATTTGAATTTGAAATATGTCTTATTCCAAAAGGGGTTTTAAGTAGATTGTAGTAATTTAATGGTTGAATCCACGAGTCGATTTAAATCTAGACCACCATGGAAATTCTGAGAGCCGTGGATGACCGCTTCGTCCTAGTATGGGACTCCTCAGCAGTGCTGTGAATAGATATGAGACTGATAATCATGACAAAAATACTGAATTATTTTTGAATTCTATGTTTTCATGCAAATCAACAAAATCCTCTTAATTAATTGGTAATATTAAAAAAATTATTAAATCATTCAAAAAGTACGACTCGATCGTTAACTGAAATGCTGATTCAAAAGATCAACCACTTTATTAATTATTGATTTGTTTTACTTGTATTCTTACAGTCACTCTGTTTACTGCAGTATGATAAATATATCATCCTTAAAATTAATTAGAAATATTAACTAAACGACAGAGATTTTATTATTATGCTCAATGATTTATAAAGTAACTTCAATTTATTCGATTTCAAAAGAGAGATAAGTATTATGGCACTTGTTTTGGATAGTTTAGTAAACCTTATTAAGATAATAGCATAAGCACGAAGTCAAATACTTTGATAATTACGCTCTGATGAAAATGATGTTTAATATAGACTAGTAAACGAATCATCACCAAGAAAAATAAAGATCATCAAGGAACTCATACTATTTCACAATTTGAGCTAATGATACTGTGGTGTTTGGATGAACTAATGATTCCATTGTATTTGTTGAATGCTCGATTTCAAATTCTAAATACAGTATATTCGTTTGTGGTTATCTAGTACTTGTTGGTCCGATTGCGTTATTTCTGGGATTCTTAGTTCATACTACAATTCAAATACTCCTGTATATCACAGATACTCAGAGTTTGACAATGAATACTGATAATCAGAATGTATAACAATGGCCACTTTACAGTTGCTGATTGGCATATACGAATCAGTTCACGTACAAGTATTCATCTCTGATTAAGTTTATAGATGATCAGATTTTGAGCCTATCAATTGGTATCAGTGTCTTTGAGCTTTCAACAATTCGTTTCTAAGGAGAACAAATTAACTTTACCTACTGGTCTAAATCTTTCCATCATTTATCTTTAATCATCAAATATCTGAACTATTCAGAAAACTTATAAATAAGTTAAAGTATAGAATTGATTTCAAAAGGAATTCAAAGTAATTTTACAATTATTTACTTTAAATTAATTAATATACTTAAATCATCCTAATTAATGAACATAACTTACATAATCGCTTTTATGATTGATACAATCCAACAAGCAACATTAATAAGACCAAATATAACACCAAATATAATAAATGATTTAATTGTAGTTTTACGATAGGATTCTAATAAAATTGGATCAATAGTTGTTTGTCTTGTTGTTTCAGTTAATTTACTTATATCTTCATTTGTTAGTAAATAATCTTCACCACTAACAAGATAAATCACCATCATTATTGTTATGAAATAAATAATGATATATTTAATTATCTCATATTCACAACAGCACATTATTAAATTATAATCTTTATAATATTGAAGTATTTCAAATTAAAGAAAAGTTTTGATTTACATCAAGATCGTAAAATTAGTTGATCAAAATCGACTATTATCAAGATGATAGTGTACAATAGTATTAGATTTATTTATGATACTTTCAATCAATCAATTACTCACTATCTCCTTATATATATATATATGAATAGAAATGTACACCTTTGGCTTGCGTATTTCATTTTCTATTTGTTTTAACAATATCATAGGTTAATCTAAAAAAAAATCGATATGATTGTGAACCTTTTTATTGATTTTTTTGTACAGATCTATTTGTATGACATAGAATTTTGTTTTACAAAAAGTAGTACATATGAATCTATTTAAAAATGATAAGTATTTTAATCGTTATACTTTTTTTTTCGTTTATTCAAAGTAAGACTGTAGAATGTAACATTAAATTTTACCATTAAATATTATCTAAATTAATGTTATTTTCATCTAAAAATATAATGAGTTAGTTTTCAAAGTTGGCCAGAAACTACCAGCAACAACTTACTGTAGAAGAGAACAAACCAGATGCCAGCGGACGAAGAAATCAGAAAGAAGCGCTGGAAGTGGATAGGACACATTGAAGAAAGCACCCAACTGCGTCACAAGGCAAGATCTCGCATGGAATCCTCAAAGATTAAGGAAAGTAGGAAGACCAAAGGACACACCAAGCCAAGACATATAGAGACAGACATGATAAGAATGAACAACAATTGGATAGAACTGGAAAGGAAGGCCCAGGACAGAGTGGGTTGGAGAATGCTGGTCGGCGGCCTATGCTCCATTGGGAGTAACAGGTGTAAGTAAGTAAGTTTTCAAAGTTGATAAATTTAATCAGTAATAATTAGGATAAACTGTGATCTATTGTTTTTGCAATAGCTTGATTTAACTATTGAACACATCTGATTGATATGTATGTAATTTCTAACTACTCTGATTAGTCAACAGTATACACTCACTATCAATTTTACATAGTTATAATGTAATTCAATCATATAACGTAGATATTTACTATACAAATAATCTATATTTATGTTGTTTCGAAACGTTTTGTGTGATTCCATTAACCGAATCAAATGAGATGAGGATTGTCTAAATTTTGACATTATATGAGTAACATAAACAAACGAGATGAAAAACATAATCAATGAAATAATTCACTGTTTAAAATTACTTTTGTATTTTTGTGTTTGTTATTACTACTCGATTTCAATGGTTAAATTTGAACAGTTTAAGGTTTCCTATATATTTTTCTGTTATACGTAAAATGATTTAGTGAATGTAAGTACACCATATGTTCAATATGAAAGTTAATTTAGGGGATAAGTTTAACACTCGTCTATAAATGTCTTCAAAGAATGAAAAGTAAAATAATATCGTTCAGTGGAATAACTAATCTACCAAACTTGAAAGAATGATGAAAACTCATAATGAATATTTGAGCAAAATAATGTAACATTGTCAGATAGTAACAGCTCTACATCACCAAAAGCATGAAAAATCATAACGAATACGCTATCACTCATTTATTGTGTCACATAATACAGTTATAGATTCCCTGACTTTAGTCTCTTATTGATCGGTCTGTTTGTTAGCTAATTTTACACACTTGATATGACAAAATGGGAACCTAGTAACATGTAATAATATTAAGGTGGGGGTTAAGACAGTCAGCAGGAAACTTTGAATATAGGTTTCATGGTACTTGTTAATTCTCAGCATAGTATATTTGTCATCTTTAGGGGACTGACGTTCTGCCAGGGAGCACTTTAATGACGAGTATTAGGTAACGCGAAGTCAGCGTTTTCTGACAAATACAACCAACACCTTACATCTCAAAATTATGCACACAATGTCAAGTCATGTAAACTAATGGCCGCAATCAAACTTAATCGATAAAATTCGACCAGCACTAAGAAGGCTTCAACGAAATTGATATTAGTCATTACATAAGGATCAATCAACTGTATATATAATACTATTAGTCATAAAATATGTTTATAATATCGACAAAATAATAACTGAATAAATCGCACAGCTTCATCTTGTGATTTTAAACAAAATTGGAGAACTATTTCAATCATCAAAACGATATGGTTGTCTATAAATAGTTGTATATGCAAGATACCCCGGACCCGTTGAACAGGCATCATAGGCAATAACAATTGTGGGAGAGAACAAACCCTATTGTAGCTGAAAATGAAATCAGGTAAAGATCCAGGACATGGATTGGATATACATTGTGGAAATTATCCAATTGTATTACGACTGGCGTTCAAACCGAAAATCCTCAAAACAAATAGAAAAGAGGTGGACTAACGAACAGATTATGTTGGGAATCGGAGGTAAACATCAAAAGAATGAATAGCAGTTGACGAAAACTGGAAAAAAGAACCCAAAATACAACTGGTGAAAGAAGCTTGGTCCGTAGCTTATTCTCCACCAAGCGTAATAGGTGTAAGTTTTGTCGTTCTGATAACTCAAACAATATCTAAACAATAATCATTTTATTTTATCTTTTCATTCTAGAATATTTATCATTTTACCAAACACTCATTGTGTTGTGATAATTTTACATCTGTTATAGTATACTACTGTAAAAGCAATAAGTTATGATTAATATATGCATGGCATAGAATTTATATAATCCTGCATAAATTAGGCGGTTATATAACTTCTATTTAGTTGAAATCTATAAATAGATTATGCAATTATGGTTTATACAAAGAATAAAAGATTCAGCCGTTATTTTTTCCTCTTCTTAAATACCAGATATTTAAAAATAAATTAAATTTTAATACAATTTTATTTATTTTTTTCATTTGATGTTTTTGTATTGATTTATTTCTTTACTTTTATTCTCTATAGAAATGAACAGAATGATTTGTTCCTCATAGAAAATAGTCGTTCTAACCATGACCAAATTGCATAATACTTAGTTACAAAAAATAATAAAAGAAAATTGTAAAATAATTCCTTACATTAAAAAAGGGGATTAACTTGATATTTGAATCTATTCAATGTAACGTTGTATAGTTAACAATATTATTCCTCTTTTCTATAAATAAATCATAAGGATAGATATTGCGAAGAAGTTAAATTGAGATAGTTTTCAGTTTGCTTTGATCTCTCTCTCTCTCTCTCTCTCTCTCTCTATATATATATATATATATATATATATATATATATATATATATATATAGTAAATTATTAATTAAGAACGTTTTTAATATTAATTAATATTATGTGTAGTATCCATGATATGGAGTAAATGTTTCATTAATGGATTACTGTATAGTTGATGGGATATTGTTTTTAGTAAACAAATTTTATTTATGTATCTACATAGATAAGAATGTTGGCTTCATGGTTTCTGGGCTTTATCAGCTGTTTAAACAATTGCATTATATCTTTAGGTTTATCGATAATTTTGTTATTCATGTCCAAAAGAAAGTAATGGTTTTCATAAAATCTCTGATATACAGTGAAGATAATTGGTGATATACACGAAAATTACTTTTTCAAATAATTTAAGCTAAAGTTGAAAATTGGTGAGAAGAATTTTACTCATAGTTCATAAGGAAACGAAGATACATCATATTGATCACTGAAAAGTGGTAAGAGGCAAATTCGGGGTTTTAATCAATGTTTATCCAAATTACTTTTTTTTCTTCATATCTATAGAGCTTTTGGATAGACATCAACCTAGTCATCGACCAAAAAACGATGAGGTATACAGCTCACGTCATATTTATTTGTGAAGCCTGATGTAAGTAATATATTCTCTGGTATCATCAACTGAATTGATTTGCCAACAGGTTTTTCAACTAAAATTTAGGTGAACCGAAGTGAATGTCAGGTCGCAATTCAATCATTAGAAAAGATGAAACCAAGTGACAGTGTTATTGGATCTAAAGAAATTTTAATGCATTATTCAGCCAGACTATAATTTATGAACAAACCAATCAAACTAAATATGGCATATCTTGAATTTTGGCGCGAAATTGATTTATCCATGCAGTTAAACAGTATTTTGACATTATACCTAATGTCATTTCGTGATTAAAAACCCTAACTTATATTCCTAACCGTAACCTGTAACTCATAATTTTATCTTCTCACATTAATTTTAACATTGTCAAGCAGGTGGATATCCTCAAGGTTACTTTAACATCTCTCAACGGTCGTCCATAAATTGTAGTCCAATCCACCATTCACTTACTAGTGTGTCATAGATGCAGGGTGACCTATTTTTTGTCATGTCCCCATTAGATCTGCAACATTTGATCGATGTAAGCTAGTTCAGATCCATCAGCATCGCTCGGGTCAACAATCGATGACGTCATGGACTGGAACCGTGTTGTGGTTTGTACACCCTAAGCTTCCTTTGGAATTACTCACATTTATCAAGATAAGGAATCATGATGTTTAGTCACTTAACCTAATGAGCATACTCAAGCATCATCTAGAGAACTCAGTGTACTGGATACTGATAAGTATTTAATTGGTATAAAGTTGATGATAATTGCTTCAAATAACATTTTATAGCAATTGCGTATACTGTTTTTTTATGGTTTCTTCATCAATACCATTATGCGTAGTTTTTGTACTGAAGACTAAATGTTGGAGGACATACTCAGTTTCGTGTGTATGATAAGAATCATTATGTCCTCTCAAGTTTAAAATTTCTACAAGCTTTGAGGTAAATAGTTTATATTTATTACCATACTAAACGTCTAATCTGATAAATAACAAAGAAAACCAAGTGATTAACTCTTGTATACAAACTGTAGAAGGATTTAACCTCTAACTCAACAGACAGTTTTTTCATAGACATCTCACTTATGAGATAAAAAGCAAGATATCAGCGATGTAATGTACTAGAAAACAAATGGGGGCAATCGAATGTATTTGAACACAAAACTACAGAACATCTTACTAAAATCTGAGAACCATCCAGTAAATACTTCATTCGCAAAATATTGGTCAACTAATTGTCTCAAACTTGACTGCTTCTTTTGCAAATATCATTTAATCGTCTCAGACTTTATTGTTGCTTCATTTCCACTGCACTCACTGTTCTCATTCTCTTTTCGCCGTTCTTTTTAATCTTCTGCCACCAGACACTTCACTTTCTATCGATGATACATACTACTTATATCTGTTGACATCGGTAGCCGTGACTAACTTCCTGTAGGATTGAGATGTAATCACAATTGATTGATCACTAGGTGGTGATCAATGTCATG